GGCTGCGACTTACGGGGAGGCCCGGGGGGCCCGGGGGGCCGATGGGGCCCGGCAGGCCCTGCTCCCCACGCAGCCCGGGCAGCCCCTGCAGGGAGAGGAGAGGGGAGAGGCAGCGCCCGGCTGGGATACCCAGCGACAGGGCACAGAACAGGGACAGCACCTGGGAGAAGGGACCCAGGGACCATGGCCCCTGCTGCCCAAGGTGAGGGATGTTCCCGGCATCCTGTCCTGGATGTTCCCGGCATCCTGCCCCAGACGGAGCAGTGCAGGGGATAGAGGCAGGACGCTTGGCCACCCATCCACACTGCGCGTCTGGGCAGGAGGATCACACCAACCTGTATGCCCAGGGGTACTTACATCCCTGCCGGGGTCCCCCTGCTTCCCGACGTCACCCTGTAGAGAAGAAGGACGTAAGGGCAGACACGGGCATGGACACTCATCCCCAAGGGCCACCCTGCGAGAGGCAGAGGGCAGCAGGTCCCTGGGCAGCGTATCAGGGGTGCCGGTGCCACCGGCGCCGTGGGACCCCCATCCGCAGCTCACCCTCTGCCCAGCAGGACCCGGTGGCCCCTGTTTGCCTTCCAGCCCATTGCGGCCATCCAGCCCCGGCGGGCCACGATCACCCTGCAAGAGACAGCAGTGAGGGCCGCAGCGTATGGGGAGGGACAGGGTGCACTGGGGCAGCCCCCAAGTCCCCTTTACCTTCTCTCCTGGCAGGCCTCGGTCCCCAGGGTCACCCTGTGGGGCACAGAAGTGATCAAGAGAGCTGCCCTTGAGCAGGGACAGAGTAGGGCACAGGCTGCCCACAGGGAAGAGGGGACTCACCCGTGCGCCCGGGGGGCCTCGGGGGCCCTCGATGCCCTGCAGGAGAAAGGGCCGTGCTCAGGCTGGCACGCGGGGAAGGGAGCCCGGAGCGGCTCTGCCGCAGGGTGTCACCCACCCCGTCACCTCCTGCACCGGCACACGGACACCTACCCTCTCTCCGGGCAGGCCAGGGGAGCCAGCTTCGCCCCTGGCGCCCTTGGCACCGTCCTCGCCGGGGTCCCCGGCGTCCCCCTGCCACGGAAAGGCAGCGCGTTCAGAGGGTATCGCCAACAGCAGGGGAACGGGTTGCCCTTGTGAGCACCTGGCCACAAGCCTGGCACCAAGGGAGCCTCGCGCCAAGCACCTCTCCTTTACAGCACACGGGTTAAGTGCGGGAGAATAACGAGAGCCAGGCGGGGAAATAGATGCTCCTGGACTCCCCGATTGTCACAGAACTGCAACCCAGAGAGCCAGGAGCACGTGAAGACGTCCAAGAGGAAAAGGAGCAGGGCTGAGCAAGGGGCAGCCAAGCACCAGCCGTGGCCCAGGACCGTGACACCTGCCAGCACCCCACAGAGCACAGGCTGTGGCCGAAACGGCCCTGCAATTCCAAGGTCTTGCAACGGGGCTCTCCTCCCTAGCGCTCCATCCCTCTGCAAAGCCAGGCTGAGCATCAGCTCCGCGAGGCAGGGGCTATTTCAGGTGGGAAACAGCGCACACCAGGGACCCTCTGGACTGCCAGAGCCAGGAGAGGGCACCGCAGGGGCCACTCTGCCACCACGGTTGCAGGGGACCCGCTCCTCCCTCCCGGGGCTGCCCGTTACCTTCTCGCCCTTCTCTCCTGCTCCTCCGAGCCCCCCGTCTACCTGCGAGGCAGAGAGCGGCCATGAGACCCCATGGAGCTGGGCACCGGCAGGGAGGCGGCAGCCGGGGCAGAGCTTACGGTTCGTCCCGGTGGTCCAGGCGGCCCCTGTGGCACAGGGAGAGAGAAGAGGGTTAGCAGGACCCGGGTGCAACCCCAAAGAGGACAGGGCCGGGTAATGAGGGGGAAGGCATCCGTCCCAGCCACGCGGCACTCACCGGCTCCCCACGGTCGCCCTTGCTGCCTTGTGCTCCGGGACTGCCCTGTGGGACAGAAGGGATGGGGTGAGGGCAGGAGAGGTTGAGGGACCCACAGATGGTGGGTGCCCTTGGAGGGGTGATGCCCACGGGGTCATGGTGCCCGTGCAACAGTAGGTGCCCATGCATGGTGATGCCCATAGGACAATGAAGCCCATGAGATGGTGGGTGACCCCAGGGTGGTGACATGCACGGGACAGAGGGTGCTCGTGGCGATGCCCATAGGGCAGCGGGTGCCAGAGGCTTGGAGAGCTGGTACTCACGTTTCTGCCTTCAGGACCTGGGTCCCCTGGGTCACCCTTCTCCCCCGGAGGGCCGCGGTATCCAGGGAGGCCCTGAGCCGTGGGGCACGTGCATTAGTGTGAGCCAGCCCTGAGGCCACCCGACCTTCGCACGCGCCCCCAGCACTTACCCGGGGGCCCCTGTCCCCGGGTTTGCCCGGCAAGCCAGCTTCACCCTGCGGGAGAAGGGAGATGAGCACGGCCAGAGGACCCGGGGGACGCGGAGCAGGGGCACGAGGCAGCGCCCTGGCGGGTCCTCACTTACCGGAGCGCCTTCATCGCCCTTCTCTCCACGCTCTCCCTGCAGCGCAGATCAGCGGGTTCGGGCGAGCAAGGAAAGAAAACCCCGAGTCACTGGTGTCCCCTCCGCTCCCCAAGCGCTGCTGCCCGCTGAGCATCCCGGTGTCCTCGCAGGGACATCCCCCCTCCCGGGGCTCCGCAGCAGCAGTGCCCGTTCACGGGGAACGGCTGGCGATGGTTTTTACGGTCGGGCCACGCTACCTCCTTGCCGCGCGGGCCGGTCTGCCCCGGGGCGCCCGCTCGCCCCGGCTC